TGAATAAGGAAGACCATAAAAGAATTGATGAATTTGAGTTATGGTGTTGGAGGAGAATATTAAGCATACCATGGACTTCATGAAGAATAAACCAATCTGTGTTAGAAAAAGTACAGTATAAATGCTCCTTGGAAGCCAGGATAGCCAGACTTGTCTCTCGTACTTTGGACATATTGTCAGGTGGGTCCAGTCTCTGGAGGATATCATGTTTGATAAAATGGGGGGACAGAGAAAAAGAGGAAGGCGCCCAACGAGATGGATTGGCACAGTTGCATCAGCAATGTGTTTAGGAGTAGCAATGATTTTGTGGTTGCGCAGGACCAGACAGTGTTTCATTCTGATGTGCATAGGGTCCCTATCAGTCAGTGTTTACTAGATGACACCTAACAACAATATTACTAATTCCTTTCCTCTTTTTTTTTACGTATTTCCCTCCATCAAGTGAATTTTAGATTCTTCATTTTTCTGTGTTAATACTTGGTTTCTGGATGAATCTATGTTTTTAATTATTCTTCTCAATTATCTTGCTATTTTGGAATGTGACCTCATTTTTCTTACAGCTATTTTCTCAGGCAATATGTCAATAAACATTGTGGCAGGTCATACCCAAGTTCTATGTGCCCTCAGGAGTTTCAGTTGTAGGAGTGTTTAGGATGGATGAATCGTAAAATAGGCAACTCCAGGCACCAGAAAAATCATTCCTTTTCCCACAAAATAATTTTTAAGGTCATGTCTTCGGCCCTAGTACTCTAGGTAAATACCAGTTTTAGAAGATAGTCCTTGCATTATAATTCACCATCCCTGGTGTTTGAAAGGAAAGGTGTGGTGTGGGAGTAGAAACTGCCCAAATCTAAACAGTTTCCACTTTGTTTCTCAGCTCTTTACCATCATAAGGCTTCTGATCTGTTAAACTCCAAAACATAACTGTACCATAAATCTGAGTCACAGTTGGCTGGTGAGAGACAGCATTATATGTCCCAAATAAATGATTAAGAGAAGCAAGAGCAAAATCTATGGTCTCCATCCCTAATCTAAGTGGGTTAGATACTTCCTGCCTCATAGCCATTAACCTTTCAATGACAGTTTAAACGTCCTCACCATTCCACCCCAGTTTCTCATACCTTTCTAAAAATATTTGGGTCTTTCTAAATTGAATTCAAGGAATAAAGTCAAAAGTCCTACTGGTTCAGCTTTGGACTACTATGTTATAAATAATTGTAGCGGGGAGTTTAGAAGATATCATTGCAGTGTTTCAGGAGACAGATGATGGTTGCAATGGTCAGGATAATAACCATGAAGGCAGGAGCAGAGATCCTGGACATATGCTGGATAGCAATATTTTTTGATTGTCTGGATGTGGAATGTGAGAGAAAAAAATCAAGAAGGTCTCTAAAGTTTGCGGAAGAGGCTATTCTCATTTATCGACTGACATGGCTGAGGGAAGACCACATTTATGGTACTGGTGTTGAAGGTGGAGAGGGAGAATGAAGGATTTTTTTTTTTTTAATGTTAAGTTTGAAATTCTTTATCAGACATGCAATCCCAGCATTTCCAGCTTGAGAGTTTTACTGCTCTAAAGGCAGTCAAAAAGAAAGTTTGCCTCCCTCACAATAGTCCTAAAGAAACACCATTGGTTGAATTACATGCTTGTCCTTGAACCTGTTACTATACTCAAACAACTGTAAAACTCAAATCAATTAGATCTGATGTATAGGCCTGTCCCTGGAATTTGGCTAGTGGAATCATCAACTAGATATATATGTTGATAATGGACAATGGATGATTTCAAGAGAAAAACCACAGTGCTATTATCAGAAATGAACAAAAAAAGTGACTTGATGCTGCAAAAGCAAAAAAACAAACAAGCAATATCTAAAAGTTTAAAATAGTAAACAAATTGTATTAAGTGATATTGTTGTTGTTAGGTATATACAGTCAGTTCCAACTCATAGGAGTCATGTAGAGCAGAGTTTTGTGCCATCCTTACATCATTCTTATGCTAGAGCCCATTGTTGCAGTCACGCTGTCAATCCACCTTGTTGAGGGTATTTCTCTTTTTTTGCTGACTCTCTACTTTATCAAAGGAGCTCTGGTAGCGTAGTGGTTACGAATCGGGCTGCTAATCTCATGGTCAGCAGTTCAAAACTACCAGCTGTTCTGCTGGAGAAAGCTGAGGCTTTCTGCTCCCGTAAAGATTTACAGCTTCGGAAACCCTGTATAGGGTTGCTATGAGTCGGAACTGATTCCACATAGCAACAACAACTTTATCAAGCATAATATCTTTCTCCTTCTCCAGAGTCCTGGTGTGACACTGTAGGATAAGCACTGGACTAAAAGGTCAGTTTGAACCACAAGGTTATCGGTTTGAACTCACCAGTTGTTCCTCGGAAACCCTATACAGGGATGCTATGAGTCAGAACCTACTTAGCGGCACTTAACAACAATATCTTTCTCCAGGGATTGGTCTTTCTTAGTCACATGTCCCAAGTACTTTTATATGAGATGAAATCCAGTGATCCTTGCTTTTAAAGAGAATTCTGTCTATACTTCTTAAAAGACAGGTTTGTTCGTTCTTCTGGGAGCCCATGATATATTTATTATTCTTTGCCAATTACATAATTTTTTTTTTTTTCAATTCTTTGGTCCTCCATATTCATTCATTGTCCAGTTTCATGTTTCTAAGACAACAGAAAATACCATTACTTGGGTCAGGCACACCTTAGTCCTCCAAGTGACATCTTTGTTTTTAAAATTTTAAAGAGTTCATTTGCATTCGATTTTTCTGTGCAGTACATCATTTGATTTCAATACAGTGCTTCCATTAAGAGTTGATTGTGAGTCCAAATAAAATGACATTCTTGACATCTTTGGTATTTTGTCCACTTACCATGATGTTGCTTATTAGAATAGTTCGTGAGGAATTTTGTTTTTTTTTTATGTTGAGTTGTAATCTATACTGAAGGCTGTAATCTTTGATCTTCAACATTAAGCCCTGTATCACTCAATATTGTGCACATTTTGTTGCTGTTTACTGCCATTGAGTCGACTCCAACCCATAGTGACCCTGTATAGGGTTTCCAAGGAGCAGCTGATGTAGAAACATGTAAGATTTCAACTTGAGGCTTGAATTTTTTTCTTCAGTTCTTTCAGCTCGAGAATTGCTGAGTGTGTTCTTTTTTGGTTTTCTAACTCCAGGTCCTTTTACCATTCATTGTAATACTTTGTCTTCTTGAGCTGCCGTAAGAAATCTTCAATTCATCTCTTTTGCTTCACATATTTTCCTTTCATTGCATGTATTCTAAATTCAAGAGAAAGTTTCAGAGTCTCATCTCACATACATTTTGATATTTTGTTTATCTTCTGTCTTTTTAATGCATGATGTTCTGCATGTAATCCCACAACTCCTCTGGCCTTTGATCATTAGTGGTAAAGATGTCAAATCTATTCTTCAGATGATCTCCAAATGTAGAAGGGATATGCTCAAGGTAGTACTTTGGCTTTCTTGGGCTTGTTTTCATTTTCTTCAGCTTCAACTTGAACTTGCATATGAGTAATGATGGTCTATTTGGAGTGAGCCCTAAATTTATTCTGATGGAAGAAATTGAGCTTTTCTATTCCCCCCAGCCCCCAACAAATGTGGTTGGTACAATTCCTGTATATTATATTCATCAAAGTTCTTATCACTTACATTTTTGGAAATTATTTCCAATGAGTAATTTGTCAGTATTGTGAAATTTTATAATGCAATCTCCTGAATCACTTATATCACCAAAGCAGTATTTTCCAAATAGCCATCCTTTGTTTTTCTTATGCCTTTTGCATTTTCAGTCTCAATAATTATCAATGCATTTTGATTGCATGTTTGATCAATTTCAGACTGATGAAGGTGGTTAAAATCTTAAACGTCTTCATCTTTAGCATTAGTGGTTTGTGTGTACATATGAACAACAGTCATTTTAACTGATATTCCTTACACTGCTGTTGTTGTTAGATGCTGTAGAATCAATTTCAACTCATAAGGACCTTATGTATAACAAAACAAAACATTGCCTGAGCCTGCAGCATATTATTCAGTAAGTGACTGTATTGTACTAAAGGATAGATCTTGAAATGTTCTCTTTGTTGATGAATGTGATGTTGTTCCTCTTCAATTTGTCATTCATGCTATAGTGAATATGACTATATTATTTTAAATGGCCAATACTAGTAAATTTCATTTCCCTCCAGTCTAGCTAGGATATCCATCTTCTATCATTCTATTTTATACTTGACAACTGCCAATTTTCTTAGATTAACACTTCATACATATCATGTTCTGAATACTAATGGATGTCTGCAGTGAAGCAAGTGAAGGTCCTGAAAGCATTACTTGATTCACATCATTAAGGTAGATTTTATTTTCAGAAGACATCTCTTCCCTATTCATATTTTGAGTCATGCTCAATCTGAAGGACTCATTTTCCAGCAATATACCAGAATTTTCTGCTGCTATCCACAAGGCTTTCACTAGCAAAAATTTTGGAGAAGTAAATCACGAGATCCTTCTTCCTACTCTGTCTTAGTTTGGAAGTGCCACGGAATTCTTTTTAACTTGGGGGACATTGTGGTGTCTTTGATATCAATTGCATAGTTTCTAGCATCACAGCAGCTTGCAAGATGCAATAGTGGTAGATATTAAGTGTAGAAATGCAATACTAAGTTCTTCTAACTCTGACCTGACTCTTTCTAAGCATTGCTGTGTTGTTGTTAAGTACTAACCCATAGCGACCCTGTATAGGGCTCCTGAACATTTTAAAATCCCTTGTGGAAACAGAAATCCTTGTCTTTCTCCCATAGAGTGATTGGTGAGCACAAACTACAGAATTTGTAGTTTGCGGTCCAGTGCTTATCCTATAAAGCTATCAAGCTCCTTTTCTAAGCATTAAGTGCACTAAATATATATAACAACATCTATAACCAAAATTAATCTTTTTTCCCACTTTTGACATTATACTGCAAAGGAACCCTCCTTCTTTGGAATTGGAAGCCTTATTTAAGTGCTATATGGCCTATACAACTTTTGTTTTTGGATCTGCATTGAAGTGGGAGGATCTGAAGCGAGTTGCGGTAAGATTTAGTTCTTTTACTCCTTGTAGGTTCCCCAAGCTGGAACAATTAAGATGATAGAATGTATTACCCTGTCAAAAGATATTACTCCAGATCCTCTAGCTGGTTGGGGTGGGGAGTGATAATGATGCCTTAACTTTAAAAATTGGTCATAAAAGAAATATAGTAATTGAGTCTCAAAAGTTGCCATTCACTTGACTCTGATTCACGGTGGCCCCATGAAAGAGGGAACAAACTGATGCCCAGACCTGTGACATCCCCACAATTGCTTACAGATTTGACTATTGTAATCTACAGTGTTTCTCTTGGCTGATGATGAAAGTAGATTATCAGTCATTGCTTCCTAATCTGTCCTTAGTCAGAACACTGTGCAGAAACCTGTCCACCACTGATAAACTTGCTAGTATTTGAAATACCAAGGACACAGATTTTTGTATCATAGAAGCATGCAAGTCACCACAGTATGACAAGGTGACAGCTAGATAATAGATGTGCATGAGGTTTATTAACTGAAATTGAACCCACCTGGTGTGGAGCTGTAGGTTAATGAGCCAGACTGCAAAGCCATTTGAACTGCAAGGTCCATGGTTCATGCTTACCAGCTGATCCTCGGAAACCCTATTCAGGGTCGCTATGGGTCAGAACTGACTTGATGGAACTTAACAACAACAACAACAGTTCTCCCAACAAGAATTCTAATAAACTACCAATGGCTTCAGAGTCCTGGTGTGGCGTTGTGGGCTAATGTGTCAGACTGTAATGTTGTTTGAACTGCAAGGTTGGTGGTTCAAGCTCACCAGCGGCTCTGTGGAAACCCTGTACAGGGTTGCTATGGGTTGGAATCAACTCGATGGCACTTAACAACAACAACAAAAACAATGGCTTCACTTTCAAATACTCCTTGACAAATATTCAAGCCGACCTCACTTTTTATCTACTTAACTTCTTATTCTTCCTTGCACTAAATTATATTTATAACTAGCAAAGAAATACTGTTAAATAATAGAATATTGGTGAAATATGATGAAGAGCAGCACAGTATTGTCAGATGCAGTGCCAGGCTGGAAGACGCCCAAAATACAACTGGGGAAGAGCTGACTCCTCAAAGTAGAGCTGAGTGTGAGGATGCAAATGGAGTAAAGCTACCTGCTCCTTCATGTGCTGATTGTACATAACTCAAAAGGAGAAACAGAAGTAACCATCCATTAATAAATAATAGGAACATGCAATGTACGAAGTACGAATCTATGAAAATTTGAAGTTGTCAAAATGAAAATGAATGCATAAACATCAATATCCTAAGCATTACTGAAATGAAATGAACTGATATTGTTCATTTTGAATCTGCCAACCACATGGTTTATTATGTAGGGAATGACAAATTGAAGAGAATGGTGTCACATTCATCATCAAAAATAGCATTTCAAGATCTATGATAGGAGAATATCCATGTGGCTGCAAGGAAGATCAGTTAATACAACTATTATTCAAATTTACACACCAGCACTAAAGCTTAATGATGAGGAAGTTCAAAGATTCCACCAAATTCTCCAGTCTGAAATTGATCAAACATATAATTAAGATGTATTGATCACTACTGGTGATTGTAATACAAAGGTTGGAAACAAATAGGAAGGATCAGTAGTTGGGAAATATGGTCTTGGTGATGGAAATGGTGCTGGAGATGTCATGATAGAATTTTGCAAGACCAGTGACTTGTTCACTACAAATACCTTTTTTAAACAACATATAAGATGATTATACACATGGACCTCACCAGATGGAACACATAGAAATCAAACTGACTACATTTGTGGAAAGAGACAATGAAAAATCTCCATATCATCAATCAAGCAAGAACAGGGACAGACTTTGGAATAGACCATCAATGACTCACATGCTAGCTCAAGCTGAAGTTGAAGAAAATGATAACAAGTCTACAAGAGTCAAAATAGGAACTTGAACATATCCCACCTGAATTTACAGATCTTCTCAAAAATAGATTTTATGAATTAGAAACTAATGACAGAAGACTAGAAGAATTGCAGGATAACATCAAGAACATCATGCAGGAAGAAAGTATCAGGTCATTAAGAAGAAATGAAAGAAGGAAGAGGCCAAAATGTATGTCAGAAGAGACTCTGAAATTTGTACTCCAGTGTAGAGCTGCTAAAGCAAATGAAAGAAATGTGGATATAGTAGATCTGAACATAAAATTTCAAAGAGCAGGTCCAGAATACAAAGTCAAATATTATAATGAAATGTGCAAAGATCTGGAGTTATAAAACTAAAAAGGAAGAATACATTCAGTATTTTCCAACCTGAGGGAACTGAAGAAAAAAGCGAAGCCTCAACTTGTAATATTGGAGGATTCTATGGGCAAATACTGAATGATCAAGAAAGCATCAAAAGAAGTTGGAAGGTATATACAGACAGAGTCACTATACCAAAAAGAAATGATCAATGCTCAACTATTTTAGTTGTATTTAGTGTATGCTCAAGAACCAGTGATAGTGAAGGAAGAAGTCCACGCTGCACTGAAGACATTGGCAAAGAACAAGGTACCGGGGATTCATGGAATTAAATTGAAATCTTTCAATAAGTTGATGGAGAACTGGACACACTCACTCACCCATGCCAAGAAATTTGGGAGACAGCTACCCGGCCAACTGATTGGAAGAGATCCAGATTTCTGCCCATTCCAAAGAGATGTACACCAACAAAATGCTAAACCATCTAACAACATCAATCATATTGCATACAAGTAAAATTTTGTTAAACATAATTTTGAAATGACTGCAGCCATACGTTAAAAGAGAATTTCCAGAGGTTAAAGCCTGATCCAGACAAAGATGTGAAACAAGGGATATAATTGCTGACATCAGAAGGATTTTTGCTGAAAGCAGAGAATACCTGAAAGATGTTTAAGTGTGCTTTATTGACTACACAAAGGCTTTCTATTGTGTGGATCATGACAAGCTATGAACAAGACAACATTGCAGAGAATGGGTATTCCAGAACACTTAATTATGCTCTGGAAGAATCTGTACATGTACCAAGAGGCAGTTATTTCATATAGAATAAGGGCACACTGAAGGGTTTAAAATTAGGAATGGTGTGCACCAGTTGTGTTCTTTCACCATACTTAGTAAATTGTGTGCTGAACAAATAATTTGAGAAACTGGATTATATGAAGAAAAATGTAATATCAGTGTTGGAGGAATGTGCATTAACAGCCTGTGATATACAGATAATACAACCTTGCTTACTGAAAGCCAAGAAAGCTTAAAATACTTACTGATGAAGATCAAAGAAAGACCACAGCCTTCCTTGTGAGTTGCACCTCAATATAAATAAAGCAAATATCCTTACCACTGGACCAATAAATAACATCAATATAAATGGAGAAGAGATTGAAGTTATGAAAGACTTCATTTTGCTCGGATCAACTGTAAAACTCATGGAAGCAGCAGTCAAGAAGTTAAATGACGTATTGAATCACTCAAATCTGCTGCACAAGACCTCTATAAAGTACTTAAGAGCTAAGATATCAGTATGAAAACTAAGGTGTACCTGACCCAAGCTGTGGTATTTTCAATAGCCTCATATGCATGTGTAAGTTGGACAATGAGTAAAGATGACTGTAGAAGAATTAATGTATTTGTGTTATGGTGTTGAAGGAGAATATTAAAAGTACCATGGACCTCCAGAAGAACAAAGAAACCTGTGTTGGAAGAAGTACAACTAGAATGCTCCTTAGAGGCCAGGATAGTCAGAGTTTTTCTATCATATTTCACAAATATTATCATGAGGGAAACATCCTTGAAAAAGCACAACATGCTAGGTAAATGGAGGGTCAGCAAAAAATATATATAAAACCACCAACGGGATGGATTGGCACAGTGGCAGCAGCAATGGACTCAAACGTAATAATACTTGTGAGGTTGGCACAGATTGAGGCAGTTCTTTTGTGCATAGTGTCACTCTGAGTCAGTACCATCTCAGTGGCATCTAATAACCATATATTTAGCTAGAAGTCTTTATGTTATTGATCTATGAAATCTAAAAAATATAGGTTTTAAAATTTTACTTAATTCAGTACTTCAAACTGGTTTATTCCAATTCATCCCCAATTGAGAATTTTCATTTCTACCAGAGAAAGACTGAATCAGAATCTACATTTAAACAAGAGCACCTGGAAATATAAGAATCACCTGAGATCTTGTTAAACTGCAGATTTTGAATCAGTATATTTAGGGGTGGAAATGCAAATTCTCAGCAGGGGACGTGAACAGGTTCAAAGCCCTAGTTTTATTTTAACAGAGAAATGAAATTCTTATCAGAGGAAGATTCCAAGTACTCCATCAACTTTTATCAACTTCTTCCAAACACACTGATATGCCTAATGCTAATAGCATGAAAGAAGATAGCAAAGACCCATTAAGGTTGGAACTACAAAGGATGAAAAGGATCCAACTCTCTAGACATCTATACTTTCAGATCAAAGCCAGCTTCCTGATATGCTTTAGATTGCAGCATCATATAAGGCAAGAAGTTTTACTTTAAAGTAGAAATATATAGAGCTTGAATTAAGAATTGAAGCAGAAAATGGCATACCCAGAATAATCTCTCCCTTTCCTGAAAGTCAATACTATAAGAGCATCTTTGATAATTTTCAGAATCTGAAAATATTAAATAACTATGCTAGGACAAGCAGAACTTGTTTTCTCCCATTATTTGATGTCACAAAAGGCAAAGAAATATATAGGCAGATATTTAAAAAGATCTTATTACTTATGACTAGGTATAAATTGTGGTGATGGATAATAAGAACAATTTAAGGGCTTTTTATTTTCTTTGATTTAAAGAAATATATGCCACAATATACAGATACTTAGATCATAACAAACTATCTATAACATTGCAAATATTAGGCATCCCAGAACACTTATTTGTGTTCTAAGAAGCAGTCATTTGAACAGAACAAGGGTGGTTTAAAACCAAGAAAGGTATCTGTTAGAGTTGTACCCTTTCATCACATCTATTCAATCTGTATGCTGAACAAATATTCGAAGAATCTGGATTATAGAAGCTCATGTTATCAAGACTGGAGAAAGTCTCCTTGACAACCTGCAATATACAGATGACACAATATTGCTTGCTGAAAATGAAGAGAACTTGATGCACTTGTTGTGAAGGTCAAAGATTACAGCCTTCAGTATGGATTACAACTCAACATACAGAAACAACAATTCTCACAACTGAATCAATAAACAACATCTTAACAAGTGGTAAAAAGATTGAAGTTATCAAGGATTTCATTTTACTTGGGTCCACAATCAAAGCCCATGGAAAGCAGCAGGTAAGAAATCAAACAATGGATTGCATTGGGCATATCTGCTGTAAAAGA